CCTACACCACACCCTGGCCCTGCGAGACCGTCACCATATGAAACAAACTTTATTTTTGCTTAGTATTCATTATAGGGACTGATGGCTTTTTGTCAGAACTTCACTGAAGGCTACCTTCAGAGTTGAGTGCGGGTATTTAAATGGCACAGCATACCCTTGACTCCCACCTTGGACATTCTTCTTTAAGGAAAATAGTATTAAAGGCTATATGTTTGTACACAGGATGATGGGATTTTTCATAGAATCATAGAATGGTTTGGGTTGGAAGGGACCTTAAAGATTATCTAGATCCAACCCCCCTGCCATGGGTAGGGACACCTTGCACTAGACCAGGTTGCTCAAAGCCTCGTCCAGCCTGGCCTTGAAGACATCCAGGAATGGGGCATCCACAGCTTCTCTGGGCAACCTGTTCCAGTGCCTCACCACCCTCTCTGTGAAGAATTTCTTCCTGATATCTAATCTAAACCGCCCTGTTTTCAATTTGTACCTATTACCCCTTGTCCTATCACTACAGGCTCTTGTAAAAAGTCCTCTCCCAGCACCCTTGTAGCCCCCCTTCAGATACTGGAAAGCTGTAATGAGGTCTCCTCGGAGCCTTCTCTCCTCCAGGCTGAACAAGCCCAATTCTTGCAGCCTTTTGTCATAGGAGAGGTGCTCCAGCCCTCTGATCATCTTCGTGGCCCTCCTCTGGACTCACTCCAACTGGTCAATATCCTTCTGATATTGAGGGCTCCACAGCTGGACGCAGCACTCCAGGTGGGGTCTCACCAGAGCAGAGTACAGGGGCAGAATCACCTCCCTCGACCTGCTAATCACCTCCCTCATATGCAAAATGTGCAATTATCTTTATAAATACAGATTTCTTCTAGCCTAGCTGTACCGTTTCTGTGCAATGCGAGAATTCCTGGCCTTGGGTGAAAAGCTGTCAATAAGGAGGCAGGAAAATCTCTCATACCTCTGGACCTGGTGTCTTGGCAAAAGTGGAGGTTCAGAAGTGTCCTCTTAATCAAGCAGCTCTTCCCTGCCCCCATCATATTTCCCCTGGGGAGGGGGAAGTGAAGACTACTGGAATGACTTTCCTTCCCACAGCCTGGTAGTAGCAGGAAACTTGAATCCTTCACAGTCCCTGGAACAGAAACCAAGGAACAGCAGTGTCCTCAGAAGGATGAAAAATGGTAGGTGAAATGTGATTTGGTATCTATCAGTCAGGGTCAGGGCTTAGGACAGCTTTGGGTTTGGGATCAACTACTCATGAGGTGGGAGGAGTCTTTTGCCAAGGACCCAAATTACTTACAAATGTGTCTTAAGGAGACCTGGCAACTGATGTGGCACATAAACCAAACTGCCCCCTGTCCAGGAAGCTCAGCCATGGCCTGCTTCGTCTCTAATGGCTGGAAGCTGGAAGAAGACCAAGTGCTTCCCAAGACTGGCTGCAAGGAAGGGCAAATCTCCAGGTCTTACTCCATGTGAGAGAAATGTGGCTGGGGAGAAGAGGATTCCAGTTTTCCAGAGGCTCCCT